CTGGGAAGCTACAGTTGCCACAGCATTCCCAACACTCTGGCTGTCCACTCGGGTCCCCATTATAAGCATTTCTTGGCTATTATAAATGGTTTTGAGTGCAGATCCAATTAAGCCTCCAACAAGCTCCTCTAACTCGGCCCTGCTGGCTACAGGAAGATCAGTGTGATGAGCTGAGAATGAGAGAGGAGGTGGCTAGTGATCAGGTCGGAGACATGCAGAAGACAGATTGGATAAGGCTTAAGAAGTCAGCATAGGAAGAACCTAGACTCTATCCCTAATAGTGGTCAAAGGTTTTTTAATCATATGTTTTAAATTGTGAAATATAATATACATGCATATGGGTACATGCGGGGAATTCAAAAAGTTAATGAAAATGAGATTGAAGTATGAATTTATTTTGGCGCAATAAAGTTTTTAAAATTCACGCATAGTTTTTTCATCATACAAAATTTTCACGAACTTTTTGAAGACCCTTTGTATAAAACACATGCGTGCACATTTATACATATAAATAGTCTGAAAAATTACACAGTAGACACCTGAGGTAACCATATATGTAAGTGGGATATTGCTAGTCACAGCCATCTCTAACAAGAGTGGCATAGTAGTAAAACCTGACAATCTGTGAGGCCAACTACATGGGTCAGTTCCCAGTTCAAGTCTGGAGATCTCCTTGAGTGTGCTGGGCATATATGTGCTCGTGATGTGAAGCTGGCTGACCCTGTCAGGGTGTGCTCTCTCTCTCTCACTCAAGGAAAATGTTAATTTATTTGTTAAGGTTTTTGCCATCGGGCACATGTGCTCAGAGGGAGAGAGACAGAGCAGGAGAGAAATCACCCCGGGGAAGGGGGGCAGGGGAGTGCTGGCAGTAGGTGGCCACGCCACAATCCTTTTACTTCCATTCTCCTCCTAGGATTTTGGGTACACACACACATGCACTCAATGTGTTTCAGGCCATCAAGTCTACGACCCAAACTGCAATCAACCATGTGGAAGTCCAACACCTTAACAACCATGCCACCTGCTGGCCCAATTAATTAATTTTTTGAGAAAGTACAAGCCCCATCTATGTTTTGCAGCCTTGAAGGATCACTCCTACAGGTTGGTGGACCCTCCAGTCTACACATTGGAGTCTGGTTCATCTCCCCCAAATGACCTCTTGTCTATCCTTAGGTCTAGGGATGTGCATGTCAGTGTGTTCTGTCCTGCTTGATAGACAGAGAAGAGGCCCACGCAGTTGTGAAAGCAGGTTCCAGAACATATGGGGTAAGGGGGAACTAGCAGTTAGCGTAATGGCTATGTCGCTGGATTCCCACATAGTTGACTGCGGTTCGCATCCCGGACCCGGTGGCTTAGAACTCATGCCGGGCGCGTGTGTGTGCATGCCCAAGATCCTGAGAGGAGGATGGAGGAGAAGGGATTGCGGCGTGACTATCCCCCCTGGGGGGTGATTTCTTCTTTTCTGTCTCTCTGTCTGGCGAGTGCACACGCCCTATAGCGAAAACCTCTCAAAAAAAAAAAAAAAACACATATGGGGTAAGGGATACCATGGAATTAGTACTCTGAGTGTGATCTCAAACTGCACTGTCCAGTGGTTAGTCACATATGGCTGTTTACGTTTAAATTAACAAAAATTAAAATTAAAATTCATTTTCTCGGTTGGACTAGCTACATTGCGATGCTGTTATAACCAAATTCAGGCCCAGAGGCTATGGCATAGTGGTAACACAGTTCCCTATGAAGCTGGAAGCCTTGTGTTCCACTGCAGTTTGGATCCCTGGGTTTAGTCTACAAATATGCCAGGTGGTATGCAGGCCCCAAGGATTCTGAAGAGTTGAAGGACTGGAGAAATGGGATCATGGGGGGGTGCCTCTCTCTCTGTCTTCCTTGCTCTGTCTCTCTCTCTCTGTCAAGGAAGAAAAGAAATAAATGAACTTTTTCAAAAAAAAAAAAAAAAGTATGTGAAGCCCCAGCCATGGTAGTGTGAGCTGAACATTGCTGCTCCTCACCTGAGGCCAACTAGGAGCCCTGGGTTTGATTCCAGCCCACTCTAAAATGCCAGGTGTGGGGGCAGACATATGTGGTCTCGCTACTCAGGAGGCTAAGACAGGAGGATTGATTAGGACACAGCAAGACCCTGCCTAAAATACTACTGCCCTGCTACACACATGCATGCAAACACACAAAATAAGCATACAAAGTGATGGATTCATTACCTTACTTAATCATTCCACAATGTAAACACATGTCAAAACATCCCATTGTATTCCATAATATATATGTCATTATTTGTCAATTAAAGATAAAACTTTAAAAATATATTTAAGAAATTATTTTATTTAACTTTATTTACTTATTTTAATTTGACCAGAGAGGCGCAGAGCAAGAGAAAGAGAAACAGAGAAAGGGAACATGAGAAAGCAAGCCACCAGGTCCAGGACCCAAACCACATTCGGCCATGTGGGAGTCTGGTGCCCTTAACTACCACGCCACCTGCCTGCCCAAAATCTTTAAAAATATTTTTAAGAAAAGAAATAAAGGGGACCAGCAGATGGCGTAATGATTGCATCGCTGGACTCCCATGTAGTCAACCAAGGTTTGAGTCCCAGACCTGTGCCTTAAAACTCACTCTGGGTGCATGTGTGCCCAAAATCCAAAATCCAGAGAGGAGAATGGAGAAGAGATTAGGGCATGGCCATGCCCTCTGGGGGATGCTTTCTCTCTTTCTGTCTCTCTATCTCTCCAGTGAGTATATGTGCCACATAGGAAAAAAAAAACTCTCAAAAAAAAAAAAAAAAAAGAAAAGAAATGAAGGGCTAGCAGGTGATGTGGTGGTTAAGGTGCTGGATTCCCACATGGCAAATGGTGGTTCAAGTCCTGGATCCAGTGGCTTGAAAATCACAATGGGCACGTATACACGAGTGCACAAAATCCTAAGAGAATGAAAGAGAAAGGGTTGTGGCATGGCCATATCTCCTGGTGGATGGCTCTCTGTCTCTCTCCAGCAAGCACACACACCCTATCACAAAAACAAAAATAAAAAATAAACAAGAAAGAAGATGCAAATTATTTGCAGATGACATGATCTAATATATAGAAGAGCCAAAGGAATCCAGTAAATTGTTGTTTGTTTGTTTCTGAAAACAAGTTTTTACTTAAATAAGGGTTTAAATACATCGCATAACATTAAAACTGAAGAAGAAGGGGAAAAATAACCAAAACCCAGTTTGTTACTTCACATGGCATTGGGCAGCTGTTGCTTATAGTAAGTTGCAAGCTCTAGAGCTAGCTACATGACTGAGACATCCATTTGAAACTTGTTCCCTTGTCAAAAGTTTAACTGTGACAGGTTGACCTCACATTGTGGTGTTTGGAAATCCTTTTATCTAAAATACATCTGGTCAAAGAGACCACGGTGGCAAGTCAGGTGTCCTGTCACCTCACTAGAGCTCTGTTCACCTGGTCAGGTTGAAGATGCCAGGTGATCTTTTACAAGTGGTACAGCTGCCCCTGCTACTTACCATCCTCTCCTCTCAGGTGCACGGAGGGCTGTTCAGGTGATGACATTCTCTAGGGCGGAGGACACGGCAGAGGGAGTGCCAAGGAACTTCTGGCCAGACATAGCTGTCTGTGGTCTTGGGGCTCTGGATTTGGCTGAAACATCACGTTATTGCTCTGTTTTAGGCTGGACACTGCCAGGCGCCTACTCCTTGACCTCTGTTTAAATGAGGGACTTCCAGACTAGACAGCATGGCTCTTTTCGGAGCATGAAGGAGTTAACTGCATGAAGGAGTTACACTAGTCCAAGTTAAAAGCGGACCCAAAATGGTTACATTATACGAGCTATGAGGTTTGTAAACTTGTGACAGGGACAGAAGGGGAATTCTACTCGTTGCAAGGAAATCCTCACTTAAGCTTCAGTGAGCCACATGCACTTAAAACCCATGAACCTATAGCTGATCGTCCTTAGCCAATCCAATCTCTACAAGAAACTGGCATATGTTCTTGTGCTGATCACCCTGGAGCTGAATTACTTCTCCATATTTTGGATGCTCAATTACAGTAACATTGCAGGCAAAGTTCTTCTTAAACACCTTCACTAGTTTCTTTTTATGTCAATCATCAGAGATCCCTTAGACAGTAGTAAGGGTCTTCCTGACATTTCTCTGTTGAATTCTTATATGGATATAATCCTCAGTGCCAGCAGGAAGCAAGTCATCACCCTTACTTGCATCAGCAAAGGGGTCGAAAGAGTGGAGGTTCTGGGTAGCGGACACACGATACGATTCCTTTTCCTCAGTGGAAACGGCCTGCAGAAGACAGTGGCGGGAGAAGGCAGGCAGGGGGGACTGAGCGTCGGGAAGCAAGGGGGCTCGAAGGGAGGAGGCTGCTGAGTCCTCGAGTGACTGGGGCTGTAAATAAGTATTTTTAAAGAATTTTTTAATTTACAGACCGGCAGGTGGCGTGGTGGTTAAGGGCACTGGACTCCCACATGGCCGACCATGTCAAGGACCAGGACCTGGCCGCATGCTTTCTCACTTTCTCTTTTTCATGCTGTCCCTCTCTGATCACATTAAAAAACATATACACATAAATAAAGTTAAAATAATTTTTAATTATTTAATTTCATTAAGTAATTTATTTATCATTTGACTGAGAGAGTGGAAAAGTGAGAAATTCAGATCTGGGACCCAAACTGTGGTTAGCCATGTGGGAATCCAGTGTCTTAAACACTACACCCCCTGCCAGCCCCTCCAATAAATAAATATTAAAACTACTGGATGGGGACTAGCAGGTGGTGTGGTGGCTAAGGCGCTGGACACTCCCACATGCCCGACCACAGTTCGAGTGCCAGACCTGGTGGCTTGCCTTCTCACTTTCTTTCTGTCTCCCTCTGGTCAAACTAAAATAAGTGAATAAATAAATAAAATTAAATACATAATATTTTTAAATATATCAGGCAAAAGACATTTTTAAAAACAACAACAAAAAAAACCCGGATGAGTTCTGCAAAGTAGCAGGATGTGAGATCAATATATAAAAATCAATAAGGGACCAGCAGATGGCATAATGATTATGTACTGGACTCCCACATGGCTGACCAAGGTTCCAGTCCCTAGTGACTTGAAACTCATGCTGAGCCCATATGCATGTGTGCCCAAAATCCTGAGGGGAGAATGGAAGAGAAGGGATTGCAACGTGGTCATCCCTCCTGGGGGGTGGGGGGAGTGATTCCTTGCTTTCGGTTCCTCTCTTTCTGTCTCTCTGGTGAGCACATGCGCCCTATAGTAAAAATCTCTCTTAAAAATTAAAAAATTGTATTTTCTATAAATTCCAATGGACAATCTGAAAATAAAACAATTCCATTTATAATAGTATAAAAACAGAGACCAGAAGTTGGCATAATGACTATGTTGCTGGACTCCCATGTAGTCGACCAAAGTTCAAGTCCCGAAACCAATGGCTTAAACTTATACTGGGTCCATGTGCGTGCGTGCCCACAATCCCGAGAGGAGAATGGAGAGGAAGAGATTGTGGTGTGGCCATCCCTCTGGGGAGGGTGACTTCTCGCCGCTTTCTGTCTCTCTGTCTCTCTATTATATTTATATATATATAAAATAGTATAAAAACAATAAAAAATTAGGAATAAATTTAACAAAGAGTGCAATAAAAATACTCTTAAAAAATACAAAACATTGTTGAGAGTTCGCTGGGAAGCGAGCAGAAGAGCTGCGTTAGGACTACTTCTCCAGGAGGGGGCAGCAAGAGAGAATTAGCCACGTCGTCTCTCATCAGAAAAGTGATCAGCACCGCAAAAGCCCGAGGGGCCATTGGTCCCTACAGTCAAGCTGTGGTAGTGGACAGGACCGTTTACGTTTCAGGACAGCTGGGCATAAACCCTTCAAGTGGACAGCTTGTACCAGGAGGAGTGGCGGAAGAAGCTAAGCAAGCTCTTTATTTTTTTTTTTTAAGAGAGAAACAAAATACCCTTTTATTATGTACAGACTGTATTTGAATAAACCACCCACTCTGAAAACAGCAGGTCTGGCTTTTTCATGAGCCTCCAGAAAAATGCAACCAGAGCCTCTGAGACACGGTTCCTTCCCCACGGTGGGGAGAATGTGTGTGTACACGTGTGTGTGAAAGACCTGATCCCATGGGGTTAGGCCAGCCTCACCTGAACAGGCCACACACGTCTCCTCGCGTTAAACCCTGGCTCCAGCTTCACTGGCCCAAGAGGCCTCAGATGGGCCTGTGTAAACCAGTCAGTCACTCAACCTCCATCTTATTCTTCTGCAAAGAAACCGTGAATTCTTGCCACTACACTTGGTAGAAACGTAAGATGATCTTATTCCAAATTTGTTTTGGGGTGTCTTGATAGTAATTCTTCTCATTCCAGGCCATAGCCTTATAGTCCTCCCCATGGTTCTCCACCATGTAGCCGACGTAGTCGATGAGGTCCCGAGACAGCGTGTTCCCTTTCTTCTCTGGGAGGCTGGCTTCTGCCTCGAGTTCATTTAGTACATAAGGCTTCCGCACGAGCTCTTTAGGCCTCTCCGGTACATCCACCTCCATGGCTTTCACCTTTCTCTTACGGAGGGGTACCGCTTTGTTGGGGTCCATAGCCAGCCCTAAGTCGGCCAGGTTCTACCGCACAGATTTAGCGTGGTCCCAGACATGTCGGATGTGAGAGCACTCGGTCCGCGGTGCGGCCTTCCGTCTAGCATTCCGGTTTAGACGCTTTCGGTTGACGTTGTAACCGAACTTCTGCCTCCGGATCTTGCCCTTGGCCTTGGGCATCTGGCTGACCGCGCCGCACCAGCAGCTCACACTGGGTGCCCCTCACTTCCAGCACCGCTAAGCAAACTCTTATAAACATGGGTGAGATTCTGAAAGTGGCTGGCTGTGACTGCTGTAATGTGGTGAAAACAACTGTTTTGCTGGCTGACATCAATGACTTCGGTACTGTCAACGAAATCTGCAAACAATATTTCAAGAATAGCTTTCCTGGGAACCAGCAGTTAGCGTAATGGCTATGTCGCTGGACTCCCAAGTAGTCGACCGCGGTTCACGTCCCAGACCCAGTGGCTTAAAACTCACGCCGGGCGCGTGTGCGTGCGTGCCCAAGATCCCGAGAGGAGAATGGAAGAGAAGGGATTGCGGCATGACCATCCCCTCTGGGGGGTGATTTCTCGCTTTCTGTCTCTATGTCTCTCTCTGTCTGGCGAGCACACGCTCCCTATAGCGAAGGCCTCTCAAAAAAAAAAAAAAAAAGAGTAGCTTTCCTGCTAGAACTGCTTACCAGGTTGCTGCTTTGCCCAAAGGAGGCCAAGTTGAGATTGAAGCAGTAGCCATCCAAGGACCACTCACAACCACATGACTGTAAGTGGGCCAGTGTTTAGTTTTGAACTCTCATTATATTTTTAAACTAACGTCTTAATTTTTTATAATTGATAAAAGTATAAGTTTGAGTAAAATGTCTGAAGTTATTACAGAATGCATATATTAAGGAAAGTTGAATGTGATTGAAGATTTGTTACTAATGTTCTAAATTACACTTAATGTACACCCATATTACTAACTGTAGGAGAAGAGAAAGAGAAATGACATATTTACTCAAATAAAAAAAGCAAAGGGAAATAACATGCAGGAAAGAAGAGTTCATTGTTCCTGAGAATAATCAAGAGCATACCCAGTTCAGTTAAATCGTGTTTACTTACTGATGTGAAATACATAATTCTCATGTTAGATATATGGTTCTGCTTGTTCTGAGTATAATTGAAGTATTTAAATTTGAATGGTAAAAATATAGGAGAATAATATGGACCAAAATTTTGTATAAATAATATTTTTCTAATGGAAATTAAATATATATACAAATTCAAAAAAAAATCCATTGTTGAAAGAAGATCTAAGCAAGTAGAAAAAAATTTCTCGTCTATAGATTGGAAGACTCAATGTTGTTAAAATGGCAATACTCCCTAAATTGATCTGCAATGCAAATTCAGTGTGATCTCTATCAGAATCCTATCTGACTTCTTTGTAGGATCTGGCAAACTGTATCAAAAACTCATATGGAATTGCAGGGGAAATGGCCAAAACAATCTTGAAAAAGAGCCAAGTAAGACTCAACGATATCCTTGGCCAGCAGATGATATGATGGTTAAGGCTCTGGACTCCCACATGGCCAACCAGTTCAAGTCCCAGACCTGGCAACTTGCTTTCTCACTTTCCTTCTCTCTCTCTCCATGTCTCTCTGGTCAACTTTAAAAAAATAATAATAAATAAATAAAATATGATAACTGTTTCTTTTTAAAAAAGTCTCAAAACTTTATTTGTAGTAAATTTCAAAACTTACTACAAGACAATGGTGTTCTCTAAGCCACATAGCAGACCACACGGTTTGAGTCCCAGACCCGGTGACTTGAAAAACACTCTGGGCACACATGAGTGTGTGCCCAAAATCCAGAAAGAGTGGAGGAGAAGGGAATGGATTATGGCCACCCCCACCCCAGGAGGTGATTTATCACTTTCCCTCTCTCAGGGAGTGTAGCAATTTTTGAAAAAAAAAATTAAGTAGACTACGGAGTTGTGTGGAAAAGACCTGGAACATAAGAGGATATTTAAAAGCCAGGAGACAAAATTATTAGTCACAATTTGCCCACAGTTGTGTAAAGACTCCATCTGTCGGAAGTCACACCAGTGCTGTCCATGGTCCCTCAGCCAAGGTAACCTGGGGAGAGATACTGGTCTAGGCTGCCGGGGTCTTCATCCCCAGGTAAGGCATACAATTGCACAAATTCATCCATGTCATAGGGAATGGAGACCCAAAGAGGATCAGAAGCCTCCAGACATATCTGTTCAATATCAGAAGGCTGAGAATCCCGTGATGAATTCCTCAAAGAGGCACCAGCCCCTTCAGGTGACTTGATATCAGAAGGTTCAGAAGGATCATGGTCATTGGCATCTGAAACTCCCAGGCTCACTGGAGGAGTGTTTGCAGCAGTTCTGAGTATGGGGGTTCCCTCCATCTGATCAGGTGCTCCTGGTGGCAGACTTGCCTGGGTTTGTTGCTGCTTCTTCTGCTTGGCTCGCTGATTCTTAAACCAAATCTGAGGAAGAAGGAAGTGAGCAGGTTTGTTAAACGGAATGCCAGACCTCTAGCACAGAAGGTGAGTCCTGTGTTTAGGGTGCCAGATCCAACATGGCCAAGCATGGTTTGAATCCTGGCCCCGGCAGCTTGAAAAATACACAGGGCACATGTGCAAGTGAGCCCCAAATCCCAAGGACAGATGGAGAAAGGATTGCAATGTGACCATGCTCAAATGGGAGGTGCTTCCTCTCTCCCTCTCTCTCAACCTCTCTGGTGAGCACATGTGCCATCAGGCAATAAAAAATAAAGTAGTGGGACCAGCAGTTAGCATAATGGCTATGTCGCTGGACTCTCATGTAGTCGACCACAGTTCGCGTCCTGGACCTGGTGACTTAAACTCACGCCAGGCGTGTGTGTGTCCTCTCTAAATAAATAAATAAATAAATAAATAAATAAATAAATAAATAAATAAATAAATAAAAATGAATAAATAAAGTAGTAAGTTTATTAAAAGGGAGGGAATTCTTATGTTCCTCAAAAATTAGGAGTTTTTCATTGCAAGAAAGCTAATCTCACATCTCTTCATGTTTATCTGAACAAGGACATTCCTCTGTTATTCTGAGTTCCAGAGGGCAAAGGGATAGATTGTACTTTCAATGTGTAGAATAGGATATAGCACTCACACCCTAGTTCAGGAGGTACAATGTAAAGGGTAGAGTATGTACCAGTGGCGTCTCTGGGTTCTCAGAGAAAGTACTCTGGGAACCAGCAGTTAGCGTAATGGCTATGTTGCTGGACTCCCACGTAGTCGACCGTGGTTCGAGTCCCGGACCCGGTGGC